CCCTCAGCAGAATAGCTTAGGAATTTTTGCTTTATTTTTGTAAAAACATTTTTTGTAATTTGATGTTTGATTTATTGTGTAAAAGTTTTGATTTTTAATCTTGGCATTCAATTTTATAAAAGTGAATGACTTCAGATAAAGTAGCTTCACTTAACACAAGGTTTTGACTTCGGACACAATAAAATGAACAGGAGAGGAATTGACTTTGGGTATGTATATATATGAGGCGGACTGGAAATGACAAAAGATAAAGCAAAACACTTCAGAAGTGAGGGTAAAGGAATTATAACCTAACAAATGAAGTAAAGTGACTGAAGAAGTCACAATGAAAGGGCTGAAGCACTTCAAATGTGAAGTGGAGTTCATTATTGAGCTTCGGTATACAGTAATCAGAATAATGGCGATTATAGAAATAAGACAAAGTTTACTGAAATTAAGGGTAAAATTTCTTCAAGTTATTGGCATTCCAGACTCTAGGAACCCTTTTGCCCTCAGTATCCTGTAGGATATAAGCACCGGGGTGCAGCACTTCGGCTATAGTGTAGGGGCCTTCTCAGTTTGATGCTAACTTTCCAAATCGAGTTTCAAACCCCGTTAGACCAGCTTTCCTAAGAACAAGGTCTCCTACTTTGAATGCGCGGGGTCGAACTCGTTTGTTGTAAAAGTTTGCTATTTTCTACTTGTAGACTAGAGTTCGAAGTCGTGCTTCTTCTCTAACTTCATCAAGCAGATCAAGGTTCTCCCGAAGCAGTTGTCCGTTTTGTCCTTCATCAAAATGGGTGACCCTGAAGCTTGGGACTCCTATCTCGATAGGAATGACTGCTTTGGTACCGAAGGCTAGATGATAGGGTGTTTCACCTATTTCAATTGATTATAACTTTAGAATGCGCTTTATGCGTTATGTATATTCGTTCTAAGGTAAAGTCATAGCAGAGGAAATAAAACAATGTAAAGTTTAATCAAATAGACCAGGTTTAAAGTAATACCTGTTGCAGTTCGGCTCGTGGTTCTGTATGCCTAGAGGACGTTGTTGAGCTCGTCTGCCCATCTGGCCTTGTGCTGGTCCAACCTCGGCTTTATACCTTCTAAGATGCATTTGTTAACAGACTCGACCATGCCGTTGGACTCCAGATGGTAAACCGAGGTGAATTGCAGTTTAATCCCGTAGCTGGAATAGAAATCCCGGAATGAGGAGCAATTGAATTGAGTGCCGTTGTCAGCTACAATCTGACTCAGGATCCCATATCTGCAAATAATCGAGCTGAAAACAAAGTCTTCGACCTTCTTGGAGGTAAGACTGGATAATGCCCAAACTTCAACCCATTTTGTGAAATAGTCTACACCAACGATGAGATGGGTTACACCTCCTACCCCCTTCATAAATGGGCCTAAAAGGTCAAGACCCCACTGGGCAAATGGCCAAGGTGCTACCAGAGTAGTGAGCTCTTCTGCAGGCTGGTGAATTAGATGTGCGAAGAGCTGACATTTCTGACACCGCTGTACGAACTGGATGGCATCCTTATACATGTTAGGCCAATAATAGCCTTGTCTAAGGACTTTATGGGCTAAAGTTCGAGCACCTATATGACTTCCGCAGACACCTTCATGCACCTCCCGAAGTGCGTATTCGGCCTCGTAAGGGGTTAGGTAGCGGAGCAAAGGGAGTGAGAAAGATCTTTTGTAGAGGACATCATTAACAAGGGTGTACTGAGATGCTTTCTTTCTCAGCCTCATCTCTTCCTGTTTATCTGCAGGCACTGCACCATCTTGTAGAAACGAGGTAATTGGATCTGTCCAGCTTGGTGAGTTAGGATCCGTGCTGATTTCCATCATTCGTGGCTTCAAGAAGCTAGGTTCGTTCAAAATTTCTACAAAGACCGATCTGGAGCTTTGGTTGCCATCAGAAGCAAACTTAGAGAGGGAATCTGCTTGTTCATTTTCAGCTCGAGGTATTTTGCTTAAATGGAATTTTTGGAATTTGGATTTCAGCTCGGCTACCAGAGCTACATACTTTATCATAATAGGATCAACCACTTCACAGATTGAGTTAACCTGATTGACTACCAGCTGTGAATCACTGTATATTTGTATCGCTTCGACCTTCAATGCTGTCGCTAGCTGTAAGCCGAGTAGCAGGGTTTCGTATTCGGCCATATTGTTGGTGGCATCAAAATTAAATTTTAGAGTGTGTTCGCTTCGGTACCCATCTGGACCAAGTAGGATTGCACCAGCGCCAGAACCTTTATTACGTGATGCGCCATCAACATATAAAATCCAGCTGTCCACCTCGAACTGGAAATCAGAGTGAGCCGAGGTGCACTCTACTATGAAATCGGCAAGAGCCTGAGCTCGGATGGCTGACCTCTGCTGAAATGTGATCTCGAATTCTCCCAATTCAACTGCCCATTTGATTAATCTTCCCGAACATTCTGGCTTCTGCGAAATTTGTCTGAGCGGCTGGTCCGTGAGGACTATAATTGTGTGTGATTGGAAATACGATCTCAGTTTCCTGGCCAAAGTGACAACTGCTAGGGCTGCTTTTTCAGCAATGGAATATCTGACTTCAGCTCCATGTAACACGCTGCTGATGTAGTAAACTGGTTTCTGTTGCTTTCCCTCTTACTAACACAGAACTGATAGCCTCATCTGATATCCCAAGGTACAAGTAAAGGATTTCTCCATCATCAGCCTTTGTCAGCAAAGGAGGTGAGCTAAGATAAGACTTTAGCTCATCAAATGCAGCTTGACATTCCGAATTCCATGCAAACTTTTTTTGTTTGCCAGATTCATCCTTCTGAGCTGCCAATCTCATGATCTTGAAGAACAGCAAACATTTATCTGCTGATTTCGAAATGAATCTATGAAGAGCTGCTACTCTCCCTGTCAACCTCTGTACATCTTTCATTGACTTCGATGGTTCCATCTCAGCTACTGCTTTGATCTTCTCGGGGTTAACCTCAATCCCCTTTCTGGACACCATGAAGCCTAGGAACTTTCCTGACTCCACACCAAAAATACACTTTGCTGGATTTAACCTCATTCTGTTCTTCCTAAGGTTGTTGAATGTTTCCTCGAGGTCGGTTAAGTGATCTCTAGCTTTCAGACTTTTCACCACTATATCATCAACATATACCTCCAGATTCCGGCCTATTTAAGCTCGAAATACGATGATAACCATCTTCTGGTAAGTAGCACTTGCGTTCTTCAAGCCGAAGGGCATCATTACATAACAATAGATTTCATCGTCGAAATAGAACGAGGTTTTATCTGCATCTTTAGGAGCCATTGGAACTTGGTGGTAGCCAGAGTATGCATCCAAAAGACTTAATCTCTCGTTTCCAGAGGCTGCCTCAACCAGCTTGTCAATGTTTGGCATTGGGTAACAGTCTTTTGGACAGGTATCGTTGAGGTTAGTGTAATCGATGCACATCCGCCATTTACTGTTTGCTTTTTTCACCAGCACAGGATTGGCGACCCATTCACAGTAATCAAGCCTTCTGACAAAACCAGCTTGTAAGAGTTTCTCAACTTCTTCTTTGATGACCTGTAACCTCTCTCCCCCAAAGAGGCGTCGCTTTTGGGCTACTGGTTTCTTAAGTGGATTGGTGCTGAGTTTATGTTGAGAAACTGAAGTGGGGATTCCCGGCATATCTGCTGAAGTTCATGCAAAAACGTCTTTATTGGCACGAAGAAAAGCTATTAGCTCTGCTCTTTCCTCCGGGTTCAATTTGGTCCCAATTTGTGTTTTCCAGCTCAGATCTCTGTCATCAATCTATACTTCTTCCACATCTTCAACCAGAGCAGCTCTGGTTTCATCTTCTGGTCGGTTATCCACTATCTCCACACCCATAACTTGCCGATCGTCAGGAATCTGTGTGGGATTGACCTCGGGTGTCTGATCTTTGCCCTTCTGAGGTTGTGTGACCGAGGTGATGTAGCAATGTCGGGCCACCTCCTGGTTGCCTCGCAATGTTGCTACGCCCGTAGGAGTTGGGAATTTCATGCATAGGTGAGACTGGGAAACCACAGCTCGGATTTCAATCAGTGTAGGTCGGCCATGACAACGTTGAAAGAGGACGCCATCTTTACTACTAAAAATCGAACTGAAGGGGTCACATAACTTCGGCCACTTCCAAATGCAACATTCATGGTGAGGACTCCTTCAACTGGAACTGGTTGGTTGTTGAACTCGTAGATGGGACCATCATACCGCTGCAACAGAGCTGGATCCAACCCAAGACTCTAAAAACAATGGAAGTACATGATGTCTGGTGCACTGCCTGTGTCAACAAGGACACGCTACGCCTCACAATTATTGATCGTGACAGAAGTGACTAGAGGATCATTGTGGGGTGTAACAACTGTGTCAAAATCAGCAGATGTGAAAGTAATAGGTTGATTCTTCTAGTCAGCATCATCAAATTTCCGTTTCTGAGTGCGATTTGGATGCTTAACCTCTCTAACGTACAACTTTCTCTGTTTAGAGCTGAGTCCACCGGCTTCTAGGCCTTCTGTAATCATGTGTATAATTCTAGCTGGTGGTGGAAGTGGGGGTGGGGCTTGCTGATATCCCACACCTTGCCTGTTTGGCGAGTTACGGACTCCTTGAGGTTGTGGCCCTTGTTCCCTGACAAACCGTGGCTGTTCAACTCTCTGGATGTACTCATTCAACATTCTTTTCTGCGCCAGACTTTCCAGCTCGGACCTCAGACTATTGCATTGCTCTGTTGTATGACCGTGATCTTGATGAAAATCACAATACCTAGTATGATCTCTGGTAGCAGCAGCAGTTCTCATTAGACCCGGACGTCTTAAGTCCATCTTATTCTTAATCTGCATAAAGATTTGTGACCTCGGTAAATTAAAAGGAGTCCAATTAACTGGAGGTTTACTTGCAGGTTGTTGTGGAGGTGCTGAGTTCGGCCTTCCGAATCTCAGGGTGGAAGTCGACATCGGACCTCGGTTCTGTGTTGTCTTCATCCGTTTCCTGTTCGGATTCTCATCTCTCCAGTCCAGGTGTTGGTTCTTAATAGGAGTTAGGTTCTGCGACAAGGCATATTCCTCAGCAGTTATGAATTTCAACGATCTATCATTTACCTCGCTGAAGGTGTTGGCAGGATGTTTGAGCGGACTATCTCTGAATCTCTCATGGCTAAGACCTGAGATCACAGCTGTAATTCCCACAGCTTGGTCGAAAGAGTTAACCTCCAGCACTGCATCATTGAATCTACTCATAAAATTCTTCAAAGACTCTTCGTCCCTCTGCTTAACTCGCATTAGCTCAGAAGTGGTTTTCCTGATCAACCTTCTACTGGAAAACTTTGTGGCAAAAGCAGATGCCATTTCTGTGTAAGAGTTGATTAACCTCGGAGGCAGACTGTAGTACCAGGTTCGAGCATTACCTCGGAGGGTAGAGGGAAAGATTTTGCACATCAACGCATCAGAGGCGTTCTGGGCCTGCATGCAAGAGTAGAAAGCATGTAGATGATCATCGGGGTCCTTCGTCCCATCATAAGTTTCAAGCTGTGGTATTCTGAAGTCAGCGGGATAGGGTTCCAGTATAATATTGGTGTTGAGAGGGTGGGGTACGGAGTCAGCAGCAAGGTGTGGAGGTGGGGCACCTCGCTGTTCAACCACTAGCTTTTCTAAGCTATCTAGATGTCGAGTGACATCATCATGAAGGGGTTGCTGAGCTGGTGCGATGTGAGATTGGCCCTGAGATTCACTAATAGCGGGAGTATGCTGAACTGGTTCAGGATTTTGTGGTGGGGCTGGGGGTTGTGGAGTAGGATTAAGTAGGTTGATGAATGGATCACCAGGATTATTTCGGGTTAATAGCTGAGCCAGTACTAGCTGAAAGACACCAAACTGCTGTTGCATGGCAGCGAGCTGAGTTGCAACTACGTCTTGGTTAGCAGTAGAGGCTGAGTTGTGAGCCGAATTGCGTGGCTGATTTTCATCCCCTCCTTCTGCATGGTCAGCATGAGGGAGTGTGTTCAGGATTGGGGGCGGGAGACGAGGGTGAAAGTTGCTGGGGACCTGACCTCGTCTAAGAGGCTGAGATGAGTTTCCACCTCGGATTGACCTAGTTTTAACCATGGTGAGAGCAACAAGGGAGCTTTCAGTGCGAATTCCCACAGACGGCGCCAAATGTAACTGCACCAAACCAGATGTCCTTCTTTAGTCCACGTCCGCACTCCGGGTCGACTTGCAAAGCCTCGAGGTGGGTCCTCGGGGTAGACACTCCGATGCTTAAGTCAGCAATAATCGGGGCTACCGTTAGAGCAGAGGAAAGATGAGCTTAGGGTTGGTTTCAATCACCTTTTCGTCGTGGCCCTTGGGGGGTATTTATAGGTTTCAATGAGGAACCCACATGGCATGCCAAGCAAGATATTCGGGATCTGATGTGTATCTCCAAACGGCAAGATATTCGGGATCTGATGTGTATCTCCAGACGGTTAATTCGGGACCGAGAATTTGAGAGATATTCAAATGCAAGGATGTCCATCGTGACTGCTGCGCAGCTTATTATAACGGATCAGATACAGGCATGCCTACTGTTGTTGTCATGCAATTGTTTGAGCGGGAACCTTTGGATTTATCCTTCACTTCAGTCATAAAGAAATTACTGTCGTTCGTCCGAGGTTGAGCACCTCGGACTTGCCCTTACACTATCCAAACCCAGGATCCACTTATTGATGTCCCACTTAAAATTATTTTTAAAATAAATGAAAAGTTAAGTTTTTTTTGGTAAAAAATGAAAATCACTACTCATCTAAATTATAAGATGGGACAAGTTATTTAAGATTAAGGTCCAAGGATATAATTGGGAGTAAAAAGAGTCTACAAACAACTCATAATTCCCTGTGTAGAACATAATTACATACTTTAAAATTTGAAAGTTGATTTCAACTTATAAATATCTTTTAAGTTTTTTTTTTTTGAACAGTGATAAAGATCTTTTAAGTTAATGGCCTTAAATTGGACAAACCAAACATGCACGGGTATAATCCTTTCATCTATAAAAAATTTGAGTTTGATTCTTACTCGGTTCAAGTTGAATTTAACCCAACTCATGTTTGAGTCAAGTAATTCACAAGCACTTTAACTCATTTATAGCTTTAGTTTCAAGTCTTGTTCATTAATCCATTTTATTGATAAAACACAATCATATATAATCAACCTAATGGATTGAAAAATCGATTCGTAAGGAGGTCGCACAAAAATAATTCTCCACATCTCTTGATTCTGATATCATTTTGCCATTTACCCAAACAAATACGTGAATTAGATCATGCAAGCATAATCTTTGGTATTAACGTCATCGCAATAAATCATTTGTGTCGACTTGTGATGTTGTTTGTTCATTAATCTTTTTTTTTTTGGGTAAACAATTCCAAAAAATTAAGGTTACATGCTCACCAAAATTAAGGAAAATCCAATTTGTGACAAAATCAAAGCCTAATTTGACAGAGATGAAAACCGATTACCACACAGTTTTGTTTTATACACTTTTAACCCTAACCGAACTGGCTCAACACTTCCTGGTCCAGTTTACCAACTTTTTTTGGGCTAGGTTAATGAGGTTAGTGACTTAATTAGTGGATAACTCATAACTGGATCTGGATCAAATCCATGCTCTCTTAGGGCTTAAATTTAAAAAATGAGCCAGGTCAAATACCGTTACATTATCATTATGCTCTCAATCTCATATCTGTAGTGTTCATGGCGCAAACCCATTCCCCAAAACGAAGATTTCCCTCCAGCTGTACCTAATTTCGGTGACTTTCCTGCCTTCCTACCAACCCCTAGTTCTGATTTCTTGAGGATCAGGAATCTTCATTGTTCCAATTGAGCAAAGCCACAATTTTGGTGTAACCCATGGCAATTGGGCCAAATTGTTGGACATTGACCCAAGCTACGAGCCGATATTAGTGGGATGGGAAATGGCAACTCAAGCGATTTCTTCAATCCTTCATCATCTTCAAAGCCTCAATTTAATGAATGTACCCTGCTACAATTTCAAGATTAAATATTTCTAATTGGTTTATAGAATTACATGTGTTAATGGTGCTAGGTCCTATTTTTTCTCTTGATTATTTTTAAGTTTTACTTTTTAGGTTTAATGCTCATTAGTTGTTCTTGTTACTGTTATAAATCAAAAAAGTCTTTCGGAGGACATAGTAATTGCTGGGGTTAGATTTATAGCGGTAGCATTTTATGACAGCATTAAGAGGAGCTGTTGAAGAAGCAGAAAAGGGAATGGTTATGGAAGTCAAGTTCATCATTTTTTCCTGAAAACACATATTATCAACTGATAAATGGAAGTCAAGTTCATAATTTCCATGAAAATGCACATTGAAGACCAATTGGTATTCCACGCGAAATAAAAGTGAATCAAAGGCGCAAATTAGCATCTAAACATAAATATTGTTTTGTGTTTGTCAATTGCAATAAATCTTTTGTCAATGAAATGGTATTTTCAATGCATAAATTTGATGGAACCTCCGATGGATATATGTGAAATCTTCTCCACCAATTTCCTTTGGTTGTTGAAGACTTTTAGCGAGTAGTGTCGTATCCAATACTCTGATGCTCTCAATTAATGACATGTATAGATAGTTAGATATTCAGTTGACTGTGGTTGCGAATTAAAAAGGTAAACGGACCCATGTTTTCAAACTTAACGTATGCATCCCACTACAATTTTAAGATTAAATATTTCTTGTTCTTAATTATTTTAGGTTTAGAGAATTACGATTTACATATGTTAATTGTTCTAGTTCTTATGTTTTCTCTTCTTCCTATGATTATTTTTTAATTTTATTTTTTAAGCTTAATGCTCGATAGTTGTTCTTATTACTACTATAAATGAAGAAACTCTTTTAGAGAATTTAGATGATATAATTATTGGGGTTAGGTTGAGGCCTGCCGTGGTCTTTTTATGTGACTGTGACAATATTAGGAGAAACTATTGAAGAGTAGAAAAGAAAATGGTTATGAAAATCAAGTTCATAATTTTCCTGAAAATATATATTACAATTGATATATAGAAGTCAAGTTCATAATTTCCATGAAAATATATATTGAAGACCAAGTCATATTCCAAGCTAAATAGAAGTGAAGCAAAAGGCGTAAATTAGGCCAAAATTCCACAGGTTAATGCTCAGTCATCAACAGTTGCACGATTATTTGTCTCCCCTCAAACTCATTTTAAGGATCAGATTCTCTAGATAAGAATTGTTTCCTAGCAGTCAACAATAGATTGGTTATTATTAAAGTGATTCAAATTTTAGTTTTTTCTTTAAATAATATCTAAAAATATTAATTTGTTAATTATTTTAATTTATTAGTTAATAAATATTAATTATTTTATTAATTAATAATTAATAATTATAGTTATTAATTATTTTTTTTGAATAAATTAAAATAATTAATATTTTTAAAGGACTTATTTTATAATTTTATTGACCATAATATTATTATCAGTGATCACAATTATGCCCGTCCTTCGTAAATCAAATGGTATTTTCAATGCAGAAAATTGATGGAACCTCAGATGGATACGAGCGAAATTTCCTTCCTCTTTCTCCTTTGTTATCGAAGACTTTTAGCAACTGCTGCCGTTTCCAATACTCTGGTTCTCGCTCCTGGCCGGTTGGCGAGCTCCGGGGTATCTAGTCGTTATACCCAAACTAATTCGATTTAACTCGGTCAACGACTGGGTAATGTGTTTTGATCATTGAATAGATATATATGGATATAACAACAATAATTAAAAGAGTTAATGAGGATGATTCAATTATAATATTATGATAATTTATTTAAAAATATTTAATATCAAATGTAAAATATAATACTTTCCTAAGCACAAAAGAAGAGAGTAAATGCACAAAAAAGGATACTAACTTTACAATTTTTTTTTATTTAAAGATGTTAACTTTATCAATTTCTAAATAAGGATGACAACTTTCAATATTTTCTATTTAAGAATGTCAATTTTCAATATTTTCTATTTAAGAATGTCAACTTTCAATTTTTTCTATTTAAGAATGCTAACTTTCAACATTTTGATTAAAAAATCCATTTGTCATATTAGCATCATTATCCAATTAATCCTTAAATAGAAAAAATTTAAAGTTGATATCTTTAAATAGAAAATATTGAAAGTTAACATCCTTATTTAGAAATTGATAAAATTAACATTTTTAAATAAAAAAATTATAAAGTTTGACATCTTTTTTTACACATTTACTCCAAAAGAAGAACAAAAATTATACAAAATTATAATTAAAGATATTAGTGGAACAATTTAAATTTGTCATTTGCACTATTGTATCTAAAAGGAAAATCATTAAATGAGAAATTATGATATAATTACATGATATCATAATTAAAACATCTCAAATTTAACTTTAAAATCCAAATATAGTATCCGATGCGTGAACGTAATTTGTGTATGAACAATATCTTTTTTATATGGTTAAATCTCTAATTTAGTCCCTCAATTATTGTATGAAATTTTGATTTGATCCTTAAATTAAAAAAATCTTTAATTTGATTTATATCATTTACCAATTTAACTCCAAATTAGTAGTTCCGTACAAAAATAACTAATATATCTCATTATTAACATGATACGTAGCTGTTAAGTAACGATTTTCTATCATTAAGTAATGGATACGTAAACTATTTTTTAACGGAAAGACTAACTTGAGATCAAATTGATAAATAGTATGGATCAAATCAAAGATTTTTTTAGTTTAGGGATCAAATCAGAGGTCTGTATAATAGTTGAATGATCAAATTGAGGGTTTAACCTTTTTATATACAAATTACCGAAAGAGAAAAAAGCAAAGGAGAAGGTGAATTTTACATAAAATGCTAGTGAATAGTCTACAAATAGTGCCAAAATTTTTATGTACTACTAGTAATATATCATTATTTTTCATTGTTAGTCAATAAAAGCTTATTCATTTTAATTTTGATTATTTTTAAATATTTTTATCTATAAATTTGATAAAAAAAGAATTCTATAAGAAATATATAATTATTTAATATTAAAAAATTTTAGATTATTTGATAACTTATATTGATAATTTCAAATATAGATCAATAACTATATTTGAATTGAAATTATATTCTATCATTTTAATTTTATCTTAATTTATCCAAATATCTAAATTATTTAAACCAAAATTCCAAAATTATGGTTGAAAATTTAAATATTTTAGTAATATTCAAAATATGCCCAAAAATTAATTTATGGATTAAGTTGACACCAAAAATTAATTAAAAAATGTGACCAAAAATTCAAAAATTAAAATGGATAAATTGGTCAATAAAATTAAAAAATTCTAATCCGCTAGCGGTTTGGTACAAAAAGTTACATAAACTAGCTTTTTCAATCTGCTAGCGGTTTGGATTCTAACCGCTATCCGCTAGTTTCAAATTACTAAATAAAAATTTTACCAAACACTTTATTTGTAACGGTTTCAAAATATATAAGTTTACCAAACACCTATATTTAGCAGTTTAGGTAAAACCACTAGTCGTTACCCCAAAACCGCTATACCAAACGGGGTCTATGTAGCTTTTTGTACTAAACCGCTAGTGGATTAAAATTTTTTAATTTTATTGACAAATTTATCCATTTTAATTTTTTAATTTGTGGTCACATTTTTTAATTAATAATTATCTAATAAATTTCAATTTTGTTTTGTTACCTTTAATAACATTAAGTGATTATAATATTTTTTTTGTACATTAATTTATAATTAAAAAATAGATTATCTTAAAAAACAAAATTTGTTAATTAGACAAAATGATTAATTTTTTATTTAAAAATAATGTAATTTTTTCTTTTTTAAAAATAAAAATGAAGGTT